GCGGTTCCAGGGGGTATCCATGGAGTTTTCTGGGCATCAGAGCAGCTGTGAGGTCAAAGAGACAGTTGTGAGAAAGGGGAGACATACCCTAAATACCCTTGTGCTCCAGTGCCCCTTTGAGAACTGATGGGGATATAAAACGGGGTGTATAGGATCCCCTCTACAGAGGGAAGGTAGTCAGCCCCAGCCAGGCTTCCCTCCCCCTCCCATTACCTAGTTATGTTCAGGGAGATGATGGATTTGCAGAGGGAACTGGTGCCAAATCGAAGGATACAGGCAGACACTAAGACCAGGAAGATGGCTATAGCTGAGATGGCCAGTGCGATGCGGAGCCCTATTGGGCCTCTATATAAGGAGGGAGAGAATAAACCTTGTGGTTGAGGTGGGACTCGTCCCATCTCAGCCCCCGGCCCTCGGAGTGGGCAGTCACCTGTGGGAATCCTCGATGCAGCTGCTGTAGACCCAGAAGAGCAGAAGCAGGAGACAGTAGAGGGCCAGCAGGCCAGAGGCCCCAGTCACAAAGTAGCAGAGAGATGGGGCCGAAGGTCGGGACAAGGCCAGGGAGGAGCCATTCAGGGCAGCCACACCATACAGGGGACAGCTGCCACTGAAGGAGCCCTGTGGAAAGAAGCTGCTGAGTCCTAGATTTCAGGCTGGTGCCTCTAGATGCAGGCTCATGGCAGGTGTTGGGGATAATCTAGACCAGGGCCGCTCTAGGGAGTTATTTGTGCATTGTCAGTTCCTGTTTCTGGGCCAGTAGATTAATGAGTCCGCTGGGGAAATCAAACCTGCAGTGAGTGGCCAGAAGGATCAGGAAATAGGCGATAGTTATGAAATACAAAGAGCTTCAGAGTTGCCTCACAAGTTCTGGTCTCCCCTCGTGCAGAAATCCTAGAGTAGAACCAGAACTGTGTGACCTTCAGCTATCTCCGATGTTTTCTGATCTGTAAAACGGGCGTAATAGCGCCTACTTATAGGGATTAAATGAACCTGTTTATTAACATGATTGCCTGGCTGCGATAAACAGCCTAAACTTTTGGCTTCTGCTACATCACTATTTCGCCATTTAACACATTCTGTTGCAACCATTTGGTAGTTTGATCATCTCCACTACACTAAGCTTTATTTCTTGGAGTAGCTTAGCACAATAGTGTCTGATTTAGGGGGCCCTGGACCAATTTGTTTCACAGCCAGGGTGAGGTTATGCAGGAGTCACCAGGCCGGGCTATATCTGATGCTGTTAAGACTCTCCTGAGGACTCGTTCCTTTGGCCAGAGTATGACCTGGGCGGACGGATCGACAAAGCGCGTTTACCGCCGATGCAACTCCAGCCTCACCCGGCCCACCGGCTGAGAGGAGCAGCGCGCCAGAACCGCCCCTCCTGCCCCGGCCCGGACAGCAGCGGACTCTCCGTGTCAGGATCGGCCTGCCCGCCCCCGCTTACCCGGCCCGACAGCCGGCCCCGTCCCGCAGCCGCACCTGGGTCCGGGTCAGTGCCACGGCCGCCACGGCTCCGCACACGAAGGCGGTAGCAAAGAACACGAGCTCGACGCGCTGCAGCCAAGGTAGAGCCATGGCTCCCTCGCCACCAGGAAGCGCCGCCGTGGGAGCTAACCGCCCAAGCCCCGCCTCATCCGGCGCGACCCACGACCGCGGAGACGTCACTTCCGGGCGCGGGATTTATTCACAGAGACCGCCGCCGCCTCAAAGCGGCAGGTACAGCGAGTAGTCCGAGAGCGCCCAGCGGCGGGCCGGGCGGCCGGTGCGGCCAATCATGGGCAGCTTCTGCACGTAACGGGAGGCCGGGCTGGGCCCGTACGGCGCGGGGAAGGCAGTCTGGAAGAGGCGCCCGCGGCATCGCCTCCCTGCTTGCCGCCCGGCGATGATGAAACGGAAGTGAGGGGCACCGCGCGGGGCAAAACGGCTCTTCTGGAAGACGTCGCGGGTGCCGGCGCCCGGGCCCTGCTGCCGGGGCGCCCCCCGCGCCCGGTGCACGCGCGGCAGCGGCCTGCTCTCAGAGGCGATCGGGGCAGAGGCCGACGGGGGTCCTCCGCCCCGGGGGCTCTCGTCGCCCTGCGGGCTGACCATGGCGTTAGCGGTCAGCTGCGGCATCTTCCGCACCGAGTCCGGGGCGGCCGCCGGCTCCTTCTTGTCCCCAGGCGGCCGCGGGGCCGTGGGCGCGGGCTGACCCGTGCCAAAGCGGGTGGCCAAGCTGTCCCCGAAGAAGGCGTAGAGCTCCCGGTAGATGTCCGCCAGGGTCACCGAAGGGGAAGGAGCCTCCGGCCCCGCGCCACCTGGCGGCAGCGGGAGACCAGACCCAAAGCCTGGCTCTGCGCTGCCCCCGGAGGGAGACTCCTGCAGGAGAAGGCTGTCCCAGGGCAGGTCGTCTGAGCGCCGGCAGCCCCTGCTGCCTGGCCCACCCTTGTTGGGCTCTGCTGCCTGGGCCTTCATCTTCAGCAGTCGTTCTACGGCCACCTGCAAGAGCAGGGGGACTAGGATAGGAGGAACCTGGGCCTATCAAGTGTTCCAAAGTCAGCCCGCTGAGCGGCTGTGCTCATGCAGGGAGGAGAGGCTGGAAGGGGCTGGCACTCACCAGAATGGCTCCATAGACTTTGTGCCCATCTGCTTTAACCTGGGCATTCGATACTGAATAATCATCTAGCACAGCCTGTAAATTTGTCCAGTAAGTGGACAGGTGTGGGTACAGGACTCGCTCTACTGCCTGGAAGGGAAAGAAGAATGCAGTGAGTGCCTCTTTTTTGCTTATCGCCTCCCAAGTACCATTTCCCCTGAAAGATCTACTTTTATCTCTGGTACTGAATTTAGGACTCAATCCTAAATTCCCTGCTTGGCATATTCAGCCAACGTTTGGAAGCTTCTGGATGCCCAAGCCTTAATTAATTAAGCCCTGGAAACAAAGATCGGGTACAAAGACATACAAAACCAATACAAAGTGACCCCACTATCACTGACATATGTGCCAAAGGCTAAGAGGGTATAAGTAATGCCCCCTGGTAACAGAGAAATTTAGTGGCCAACTGCTACCCTGTACAGCCAGTAATGTCCTGGCGTAGATGCAACCTGGAACTCAGTTCAAACCACTTGTGCAAAAATAAACAACTGGGCTTCCCTGGTGGCGCAGTGGTTGAGAGTCCACCTGCTGATGCAGGGGACGCGGGTTCATGCCCCAGTCCGGGAGGATCCCACATGCCGCGGAGCGGCTGGGCCCGTG